CCAAGATCTTTATACACTTTGTTTATACAAAATATACAAAAAATACACAAATATACAAAATATACACTTTGTTTCATGAACGATTATTCTGGTCTAATTATGGTTTATTTTCTGAAACAAAAAAGTGATACATTTTTCATGACAAAGAAATATTTGGCTGATACTGCTCTGTACGTCTATAAAATGCCTAAGAAACAGAATTCACTTTTGAAAACTTTGAAACACTTTTAATTAATAATCAGATTAAACATGAGTAACTGGCTCCACTCTGCACACCAAAGTAGTACTGCAGAACAATCATAGCAATCTCTATTTGAAATAATTAGATGTTTATTAATAGAATCAAAACTACCAAAGTTTTTGTGGTTGTATGCTATTATGATATTGAATATATTAGAAATCAGTATCACAGTCAAAGAACTGAAAAACTGACTTGGAAATATTCACAGGTCACAAACCTAACCTCACTAATATGCATACATTTAGCACAATTTGTTTCATACAAGACAGAAAGAAATTGAACACTAAAGTTAAAAAAAAAAATCATAGGTGATGATAAATCAAGTCCTGCCTATTTAACATATATACCTGAAACTAAAAATGTCAAAAGAGTCAGGTGTGTAAAATTTACTGAAAACTTTGAAAATCCTAATTCTGACAATTCTTTACTTCCAGTTGAAGAAAATGATGCAATACTTCTCAACTATTTTCAGAAAAATCACTGGAGGATTCAAGCGATAATATAAGAGAGTCCTAGTGCCGAAATATCCAATAGACGATATCCAAACAAGTTACAAAAAATATCTGAATATTTAAAAGATTACATTGGATGACATTTGGATGACATAATAAATCTGACAATAGATTATTGTTGTTCAGTAAAGAATATACCCACTAATTATAATGAAGCTATTACTTCAAGTGACACTATAAAATGGCAAGATGCCATGGATAAAGAAATAACTGTCATAAAAATAAATACATATGAATTGACAGAGCTTCCACCTGGTAAAACTGTTGTAGGCAGTCAGTGGGTCTAAACTATTAAAACTAATAACACTTGTAGTGTCCAATTTTTTTCTATCTTGTATGAAACAAATTGTGCTAAATGTATGCATATTAGTGAGGTTAGATTCAAAGTGAGAAAAAAATGAAAAAAATGATAATATAAAAAAAAGAAAAAATAATTGAAATATTAAAGCTGTTTGCTTGATATTATTTCATTTTAGCCCTATTCCTTTTTCTTTCAAACTTTGTTGGACAGTTCTGTTCATTATTTTGCATTTGACCATGGCTAACTACTCCACAAATACATTCCATTAAGATAGTCACCACTTACGAGGATTTAATATGTGACCCACTAAACTAGACTTTGGGAATGGTATTATTTAAATTGAATGTGAAAAATTTTGTTCAATTAGTAAGCAGATTTAAAAATAATAGATGTTTCATAAAGAATCATATTTGAAGTCACTTTCATTCATTCTATACAAACTGACATTGTGGGGCACCTTGAGGTGGTGTAAAGTTAAGTTATATGAGACTGGCCACTGAAAAGTTGAAATGACACAAAGATGATATGAGATGTGGTAAATTTAACAACTTATTTATTTAAAATGCCTGTTGGATCTGTCTTGATCTAGTGGACCATTCTTTAGGGGGAACCAGAAGTGCTTACAATCATCATTATGTTGTTGTAACACCCCCACCTTCTTAAGGTAGTTTATTTTCTTTATTAATTTATTTCTAATTTTTCCTAATTACAAAATAAATAATTACAAATCAAAGATTTTTTGGTTACAATCCACTTGCAAAATTAAACAGATATTTTGAAGTTTTTATTTTTTGTCCACTCCAAGTTTTTCCAGTACTTTCTCTTGTATTTGTTTGAAGATCATTGTAATGATCACTAACTGGTTTCTTTCTTAAAAGTCTATTTTCAAAACCTAAAAATGAAATATGTTTCTCCTTGATTAGTTGTCACAATATACAATCTTTTGTTAGTGTCTGCTGACTTGATTGTTCCTTCAGTGTTTCAATAAGTTATATGAGACTGACTGCTGAAAAGTTGAAACAACATGAAACATGATAAATTTAACAACTTATTTATTCAAACTGCCCACTGGATCCATCTTGATCCCAGCATTCCCTAGTGTGATCAAAAGTGCTTACAAGCTTCATCATCATTATTGATGATATAATTGTACTAAATACTTAATATCCATGAATAGATATGCAGATTTTTGAGGACAAGACCTGCAAAAGTCTCTACCTTACATTAACAACATGTCTTATTAAATTAGCATCACTTTTTAGAAGAAAAGACAATTAAGAATGTGGTGAACAATATTTTATTTAACTATAAAAGTGAATACTGGAAAGCTAGTTGAAGGAACTTGAAAAGCCATTGTCTATGAAGGAACTATGAAATCAAGATTGGCTGAACATGTATGGCAAAAAGGAATCAAATCAATCCTACAAACCCCTGCAACCACTAACATAACAAGAAATAGAAGGAAATTGTGATTGTGAGAATTTGCTGTTACAAAATGAAAAACTTAATAAGACAAGGTCAAACAAAATATGAGCTGGAAAAAGAAATACAACCTTACTTTTCCTTCTTTGTTTCCTGAAAATATTCAACAATCTGTAAAGAAGGGTTACAACTTTTCAATTACCTGAAGTTGTGGGCTTAAAAGGTTACCTGATGTGTCCTTAAAAGGCCTTATAAATGTTTCTTCTTCTATGTGCCATGTCCATTCAGAATGTAGGCAAGAATGTTTCTTAGGTAGGTTAAATACAATCAAGATTGCTATACCTCCATCTACCAGTCACTAGTAGTTTTAAATCCAAATTAAAGGATAAAAAATAATGGCTACTCAAATATTGTTATGTCAAAAATCAAGGACAAAGTCATGTTTAAATGAATTATCTAAAAACAGGAAAAAAATGACAACTAAAATTCTTCCTTGTGAAAAGATCTTATTTAAAGTGAATCCTTGAACAATGTCTTAGGCCAAGTGAATTGCAAGTGACATCAAATAAAATCAAAGTAGCACAATTTCTATATATAATGAAAAACCAAATAAGTTCAAATCAAGGGACACAAACCAAGGCACTAGTAACTGTTCCCAAACCAACTTGAATGACTCCATATCACATGTAAAATAATTTGTACAACCTCTATGGAATGAAGTTCAAATAATAAAGAAGAACATTGAAGAATAAGGTGATAAGAAATGGCAGCAGATATATTTTGCTTGAAAGTTTCAATTCTTTTTATAAAGATGATTGCCTCTTAAGAGTCTTTAGTTAGAAAGAAAGTAACTTTAATCAGATTCTCTAGTGGGATGAACTAGAGTCAATAATATTTTTTTTGTTGAGAAGAATAGATCAGTTTGATTATTCAAACATTTTCCAATAATTTTATTCTTTTATCCTTTTCTTATTTATTGATTATAATAATGTCACATTTTTTGTTGACGTATTTTCAATTTGTAGGAAAAGCATTTTCAAGTTGTAACATTATATTTTATTTTTTCTATATTCTTTCTTTATTATTTATCTCACAAATATTTATTTTTAGCAACAATAATAAAAAATCTTCTCATATATTTAATGATAATTTTATACTTTTATTAGTTTTATTCTTTTCTTATTTAATGATTCATTTCTATTATTGTCATTAAAGTAATAGTCAAAGTGGTAAATTTGATAATGAACTGTTCACTCTGAAATCCAGTGTAAAATATGTATGGTTGTTCCTTGTCATGGTAGAGGGTTTGCATGTCCCAGTGAACCAAAGAGTGAAGCTGTCTGAACTTCCAACACCTGTAAGCCACCTATTGCGGTAGGGTCAAGGAGGAGAGACCAGACTGAGTGCGACCAACCCACAAAGACCCCAATGGCAGAATGATTTCAATGGCCAGTTTGGCCATTGAAATCTTTAGAGGGCAGTGTTAGTCAGGTTCCATCTATCCTCTCAAATATGGATTAATAGCAAGGTAGACTGGGATTTCTAACTGAGGTTAGCAACTAGTTTAGGAGATGGACAACTCTGAATTCAAATATAGTTGGTCATGCAGCTAACAATTCCAATATGTAAAAACCTAGCATGGCGAGGCTGTGGCCCTATAGTTTACAGGTATGACTTCAGAACTTATACAGATCTATTTTGCTTTTAATTGCATTATTATAAATATATATATATATATATATATATATATAGATAGATAGATAGATAGATAGATAGATAGATAGATAGATACACATTTTAGTTGTCAAATATATTTTATGATGAGTACATAGCTGAGTGGTTAGAACATTAGAAGCCCAACCATGTGGCCCAGGTTCAAATCTCACCACTGTCAATTTATCAAAGGGGTATCTTCTTGATTTTATCAAACTGGTGGCACAATCCCGGCATATGGTGAGGCTAGGAAGTGCTTGCAACCTATGTCACAGGTTGACACCTTGTGTGCAAATTGAGTAGACAAAACTATTCAGAAATTGTTGATTGTTACACTAATACAAAGTTACTGGTAATCATACCAAGAGTTTAAGCATACTGGTCTTCAATTACTGCTTACACCTGATTATGTGTTCTCTCCCAGAAACTGTAACTAATTGGCTCAGGCTCAAATCTCACCTATTATTGCACTGGAATTTCTAAATTGTTGTCTTCATTTAATTCAAACTTTATATTGTTTGTTTTCATCTAGTTGTTAGTGGATTTCCATTGAATATTCAATCTAAAACTTCAAAAAGTTCAGAATAACCAAATGCAGTGAACTACACATGACATATAGGACTGCCTTAACTGGCAATATATATATATATATATATATATATATATATATTTTTAAGTGTTTATCTTGTATTTAATCAACTTAATGCATCTTATTGATGTAAAAAAAAAGTATGCTGATAAACAAATGACTAGGAAAAGGCATAAAAATAATGATCACTTTGTGTCATGAATAGTGTAAATTCTGTCTCACCTAAATTGAATTCCTCTGCCTCCAATTTTTGGTTAGAAGGCAATTTTTTCTCATCTGATTTTTTATTAGAAGGCATTTCCTGAAAATAAATTAGACAAAAAGCAAATATTATTTAAAAACAATCTATTTGATAAAACACTTATTAAATCATGGAACACAGCTGGTTGGTAGACAGGCCAGAGCTATATATATTTTTAAATCAACAACTTTTCTACATCCTTGACAATTTGACCTTTAACTACAATTTAACCTGGACCCTTTTGACTAATCAAAGCAAATCAGATATAGATATCTCAAGTTGAGGATATATGTTTTCAATCAAACCAGAAACTGTTGAAAGGGGTTATAAATATACCTACTGCCCTGCTCCCCCAAAGTTGACAAGAAGTATCTACAGGATTTACTGAATGACATTTTTCCAAGAAGTAGAAGACATGATTAACAAATGTAGAATGAAATACATTTTATTGCCAGGACATTTGCAATAATTAAACCATTTATGTGCTCCTTAAAAAAAAACAAATACTTTGGCAACAAAAACAGTTCAGAGGAGAAACAATGGACCCTGAGTTATTACCAATCACAATGAATGGATATTCCCTCAGGGAGGCTCCATACACTGAGCACCTATTGGGTCTTAAACTCAAGGCAGGCCTCAAGTGGAGCTCATACATATGACCTATCAGCAAATATACTGGAAAAATAGTCAGTTCTCTGTACCAGTCCAGTAATTACCTGACATATTGTACTAACCTCTAGCTTTACAAGAGCCAGATCAAGAGTACTGCTGCCATATATGGACAACAGCTGCCCAGTTTACACTTTCCAGTCTTACTAGAGACCAAAAGTGTCTACACATCTTTGTGGGTAATAAATTATTTTCCACCCTCCAAATCTATTCTCACAGACAAAACATTACAAACCTCTCACTGCTTTATATATGCTCAGACACACTATATTCCTTAGTTCCTCCAATTCAAATCTTCATGGCCAAGACTTGCCATTGTAGCAAACCACTCTCATTACCTTTGTATTCCATTTGTGAGATTAAGTTCCACTCAAGCAGCTTCTTCTTGTAAACTGCTGTGTGTCAACCCCAATTCTTACTTTATGAACCTTTTACCATGTTACCTGTTGCTTTGCCTTATTACTGTTAATTTGCCTTGCATATATTGTTTGCTTGCTTTATATTATTTTTTGCCCTGTTTTTTTCATGTTATTGTTTATTGCAAACTTCATCAATTCTGTTTGTTGGATAATTCTGATTTATTTTGTATTTGACCATAGCTACTCACTTCTTGAATCCTGGTTAACTCATTTTTCATTGGCAGACTTGTTCATTGTATGCCAAATTGATTTTACACCATAGTGAAGTTAGCATTGTACTTGCTTGAAAACCATGATATTAGAATATGTCATTTTCATGATGAATTGCAAGAACTTTTCAAGAATAATGAAGAAAAAAAATGAATGGAAAAAGGAAAATAGGGCATGTCTTATTAAAGGTAAATCATGCAGTTGTCATTGGTTGATAAAATAACAAAAAACAATATACTTTGTTACTACCATGTACATTATTCCTGCAGTGAAGAAACTTCTGAGATAGAATGCACATTAAGGTAAATGGCTACCAGTTGATTACTCTGAAATAGTCAAAGCATAGAATGTATAGTGGGGGTGACACAGACAAAAATGATCTGATGACATGACTTCAGAAAGGTAGACTTCAATGAAGTGGTTGAAGGACTTGTTGATGAAGATATATATATGTAGGCTGCCTAGATAGTAATGAATTAACCAAGCCACAATTTCAATGTCAAAAGAGAATGGCCATAGTTTGGGAATGTAAGAATTATATAGCATTCATTTGGCAACAACTGGTCTCAAAATGTAACCCAATCAGGTCATCAGCATCTGAACTGGTTCCTCCACCTGGATTTTCTAGCGATGAGGATGGCTAGACACCCAGTAGAATTCAAAAGACTTGTCAAACAGTGGCCAAACTTTCTTTTAGTGTCAGTGACCATCTAGCACAATGAGGTAGACTGTTTAAAAAAAATGGATGAACAGATACATATGTACACTTTTCTTTATTATTATTATAGATGTTTGAACAGTAAACATAGACAAATGTGAACAGTAAACATAGACAAATGTGAACAGTAAACATAGACAAATGTGAAAATTCTGTAGTCTGTACATTAGTTTGTTTGCATACTGTAAGTAATATTTTATTTTAAACTTTTTCATTTTATTAATTTTGATTTTTTTTATATTCCAACTTTAATTCTTCATAATTTTTGAAACCCTATTGCAGCACCTTTCTCATTACACTAGCAAAATGTGACATGGGTATTGGACAATTATTTGTTCTTGATAAATATCCCAATTGGAGGATGGGCTTGTGATCAGTTTAAAATCTGTAGAAGTTGATTAGGGTCTCTAGTAGTTTGCCAAAAAGAGGTAGAAGGTTAATAGGCCGATAGTTCAAAGAGTTCTTAAAGACTGGAACGATAGAGGAATATTTCCAGCAAGCAGGAAAACTAGTGACAATCAGGCATTTATTGTATAGTTTAGAGAGAACAAGAGCTACTTTGAGAGTACATTTCTTAAGGACTATTACAGGGATATTATAAGGTCCACATGCATTGTAGGGAACCAAATTAGAAATCATAGCAGAAACCAAGAAAGGTGTTATATGCATATCACTCAACAAAGATTCTGTTCTAAGAGGGAAGTCAGGCAACGATTCTCCAGGTGAGTCAAGAGGAGAATTACAAGCAAAACAATCTACTTTAGCAGTTGAGGATATTAACACCTCAAATTGGGTGAAGAGAAGAGGAGAAAACTTACTCTTATTTAATACACTATTATAGTAGTCATGAGAATCAAAGTTGTTAGAGGCTATACAGTATCTCATTCTACCAGTAAACAAAGACTTATCTCCTTTGAGAACATGTTTACATTTATTATGTACAGCCACAAATAGGCATGTATTGAGATAGGAACTGCCATGTTGGTATAACAGGAAAATAATTTATTTCTGTGGGTTATAATGGCTGAACAGTCTGGTGAGAACCATGGGAAAGATTTGGAGAAGGTACAAAAGCATCAATACTGGATTTGACCAAAGAAGAAACCTCACTGACAAAATTCTTAATAGAAAGGTTAAGAGTACCAATTCAATTGTCATTACAAAGAAAGTGACCAAGTGAATAATCTCAATCAATATACTGTTAAGAGAAGGAGCTTTTATGAATAGGATGTTCCTGTCTAATAGATGACTGAAATAAATTATCAAGAGATACTACAGTGTGAGTTGAAAAGCTAGACAAGATGTAAGAAAGGAGGTAAAGAACAAATCAAGTAAGGAAGTATGTTAAGCAGATTTATTAGGAAAACAAGTAGGAATATACACTAGTTAATTTTTTTTCTCAAATAACATTCCAGAAAATTATATTTTATTTTTGAAAGTTTATTTAATAAAGAGAATCATGTTGTGTTGATAGATTTGCTAATTATGGCTGATTTTTAGCAATTTTAATGATTTAAAAAGAACCATTGCATCAATTTAAATTCAGTTTGAAATAGAGCATGTATTTTGCCTATTGGAAATATTTCTCCTTTGAGAACATGTTTACATTTATTATATACAGCCACAAATAGGCATGTATATAGCATGTATATGTAGAAGAGGGGGTTATAAATACACCTGCTGCACCCCATCCCCCAAAGTGAACCAGAAGTAGTACAAGATTTCCTGAATAGCATTTTACCAGGATGCAAGACACATACTTAATTCCCTATGTAAAACAGACCTTGTGCCATATCCCATTACCATAGAGGTAAGATAAATACCACCTTTTTCTAATTTTCACTCTGTAGTGAAATTAGCAAATTAGTATGCATAATTTGCATAAGCAGAACTGAACATTCAATATAAGTGGTTACTGAGAATAACCACTAGCAAGTACGAGCTTATCAACTGGAAGTTCTTGCTTTTTACAAGTTGGACAAGTTCGCTTTGACAAATTGGACAATTTCTTGCATTGACGTACAGTTAAGTTTTGATTTTCTAAAACCTTTTTGAAATCTTTATTTTACTTTATTTGTGTTTCTGCTTCTTTCTTTTTTGTTTTTATTCTACTTTTCTGTTCTTGCGAGTTTTTACCCCCTCCCCATTGTTTTGTTTGTTTGTATTACTTTGGTTTACTATTTCTTTGTTTGAATTATCTTTGGTTGCCCATGTTTTTCTTCCATTTTATTTTCTGTTTGATACTTTTTGGAGAAGAAAGAAAGTTTTAAAATTTAAAAAAAAAAAAAAAAAAAAATACAGTTATATTCGTGTTTTAGTCGCGCCAAAATGGCCGATTTACACAAACGTAAACATGTCTCGACCAACACCGCCGATGCAAAGTCAAAATTATTTGCCAGCGAAAAAGTCAGGCCTGGTCCGAGAGTGGACCGAAGAAAAAAGACTCTTCAGACACGAAGAACAATGGCAGAAATACGAAGAATACGTGAAGGGAATGAGTTTATTACAATTCCGGAGGCCTTGGACGCTATCAAGGTCAAAGTTATCTCTCTGCTAACATCGGATGTCAAAACCCATAGACTGATTGGAGTCAGCAGAGACAATGTAGAGGATGCTCTAAAGACCCTCAAGATTGCCCAAAAAAATGTTAGCCCGCAGAAGCAATGCCATGTGGGACATTCTGCTTGGTTCGGAGCAAGAGGTGAAGCAGCTGGGCGGAAACATCTTGTCCACAACAAATTTGCGCCTCCAAACAGAATACATGGGGACCAGAAAAGACGCGGATTACTGTTCACGGCGTTCATGTCGACATTACCCAGGACAGAATAGGGCGTTTTTTTAAGCCAAATTTGGCCAAGTAGAGGAAGTCAGTGCGCTCAGAAGCAAGTCTGGCATAGCAACAGGGGAGACTTGGTGCTCCAGGTAGTCCTGGATAGGGACAACTTCAGGACATACCAAATGTGTTGACTTGCCGGGAGAAGAAGATGCTGGTGGTAGTGGAGGGCAGGAAGCCGTGTTGTTGGGCGTGTGGTGCGGTGGGGCAC